TAGCATACATTATACGAAGTTATACGAAAATTATTATATATATAATAGAAATAATATATATTGCATATATATTATTTCTATTTTTCTTTTTATTTATATTTATATTTATTTTATATTATTTATATTATGTTTGTATTATATATCTTTCATATAAATACATATATAATCGTAAAGAAAAAAATATATATAGATGCATCCTTTAATATTGATTAATCGCGCAATATCTATCTTTACTTACATCGTTACTTTATATAAATCTATCTTTATATAGATCTTTATATAAATAAACAGTTTTTTTTTAATTGAAGTAACGTCAATAGATCCATTTTGCCAGAGAAATTACGTGGTATATCATCTACAATATGAAAGTGAAGCTTATATTTTAAAGAGTACATTAGTTCTTTACAAATATAAAATTGTATTAATTCTGCCAAATCTTTTGTGTCAACCTAAAACATAATAATAACGTGAATTTGTTATAATTAAAATTGTTTAATTTTATAGAAAAGACTTCAAACCTGTGCCTCCGGATCGAGTTTTTCAACGAATATCATTAAATGGTTTTCATTTAGATATAACATTGGTATTATATAGACACTGGATACATGCGGATGCTGCACTAACACGTTTTCAATATAATTTGGTATAATCCAATGTATGTCATTAGGAATATTTACTTTGCGATCGAGAACAAAGATATCACCATCATTATCTAAAAAACCGACATCTCCAGTACAGAACCATCCTATAATACCCATCATTTATCATAAATGTATATTAGTATATTAACAATTTATATCATTTTACATTTGCACAAGATTTAAATTATTTTCTTCAAATAATTAGAAATTTGATAATAAATGTCTTTAATTAAAACTACATATTGGAATTTTATGACATGTATATTTGAAGACGTCTATAGATAGATATATTATATATTGCAGTTATAAAATCAATAAAAAAGAGTTAAAACTAACCCTGCATGTCTACAGCATTCTGTGTAGCTGCGCTATTTTTGTAATAGCTGTTAAATAATCTCAGAGTATAGCAATAGATATTACCGATCTCCATTGGATTGCACATATCGTTGTTTGTATTGACAATCTTTACACGTACATCCACAGCCGACTGACCACTAGAATCATACTTTTTATATCTCCTTTGGTACGCGATTATACCAGTTTCCGTCGTGTCTAAACAAATTTTGGAATCAAAATTTTAAATATTACTACACTATTTCGTCCATTTTTAATTATAGGTGCTATTTGAATACACACAGTATATTTGAATGACGGAAACGCCTCGTAATGCTTTAGACATTCTCATGTGAATATGACCAGAAAGTCTAAAACCACCAAATATGACGTACTTTAAGGACGATATATCGTATCGTTTTGAGAGATCACACCTCAAATAAGGCACTAAATAATACAACATATTAGTTTCAAGAATCATCCAAGATACCTAAAATATAAAAAAAATATTTTTAAAAAAGATATAAATATTTTGTGTCTTTTAAATTTTTAACAAAAATTTGCACGTACCTTATGTTTTTGTATCATGTCGCACATATTTTCTGGATGGAAACATTGCGTTGGTTTTATTACTTTGACACGTGAAAACACACTGCGAACTGTCATAATAGCGCCGATAATGCAACCCAAGGATACGAACCAAAGACCGATGCTATTACGAAATAGGATGGACCGACAGTTTGCCCAATCTGCAAAAATTGTGTCAGAAATGTTCACAGCTTTCGGCAAACCCGTCGTACCGGAAGTGAACAATATCATCACCGTGTGATTCTGTTTTAAGTCCCGAGAAGCGTGGAAATTATTAATTTCGGTTTTATGAGAATTATTATTCAAGATTGATTGAAGAGATTCGAATCTTTCAATTTCACCGAAAACTACAATTTTTGTAGAAAAATTAAATTCTGTTGCAGTCTTATAAACAGTTGCAGCACTATCACTGTCGACGAACATTACCTTTGGTCTGCATAGATTCAAAAAATACCTTAAGTTTCCTGTAAGTGTTTTTAATAAATAAATAAGTAACTGTAAAAATAAATTACTTTTACAATTATTTAATAAAATTTTAATTTATCTTTCACTTACCTTCTATTATCGTGAGATATGTATCCCACGGATTTGCAATTACACTTAAATACAAACACGCTAGAAACGGTATGTAGGCATCAAAATGATTATTTGTGCATATCGCTACTATGTCATTAGATTTAATTCCTTGTTTCTTAAGCCATAATGCACACATCACACTTTTCTCTCTCATCTCCTGAAATGTACTTTGTCTGCCAGTTCCATATTCCACCTACGAGACGTGTCAATCGCGCTACTATCAAATCATACAGTACGTATTGTCTAATAAGATCGCATAATTTGGCATTGTTGATCGATAAATGCTTCCTTTATATTTGCATGGTATAAGAGAAAAAAATTTTATTAACAAACACTTATTACCTGACCAACAAAATTCGGTGTAGCTTTTAGTGTTCTTAAAATTAAACGTCCAATATTGAATCCCTGCTTTATATCGCTTGTACATAGGTCCATTCTACAGAATACGCACTAATGTCATTAATAATGTCTCGATTTTTTTGAATATGTTACAATCTTATAAAATATGCATTTTTTACCTTGTTTATTTGTTATGGCTTCTTCATATATCCGTATCTTTTTTTTTTGTGTAATTTTAAAAACGACTTATGGCTCCTACTGAGATTAAAAGCAACTGGCGTTGCTTACACCGAAACTGATTTGACTAAGCTTGAATTTCGTTTTAAGAGCGTTGTAAGAAAAAAATGTGGAAAACATGCCTAGGCAAAATGAAAATATTTTGGTAAGGAACGCTGTGGAGTTTGCGTTCTGGGTAACCATGCTTCGCATTTGTTGGTTTCAACAATTCAGTAACACGAACTTGTGAAATTTATTCTATGTACTAATTTTATTGTTAAAGTTAATAGAATATTGATATTACTTAAAATAGATATAACTAAATAATTCATGTAAAAAAATTATATGTAAGTGCAGACAGCACATGAGCACAGCAACATCTATATTTCAAAAGTGCTAATTTATAAGATTAGTTTGTCTGTACTGTATTATTTTTTACTAACATCTTTTGACAAAAATTTGATCCATTTACAAAAATTACTCTCTTTGAGAATTTTATTATGCTATTAAAAGACAGATAATTTAATATATCTAAAATAATTAAGCAGCTGATGTTACATTATTTATTTTGATAAACTATAGTGTATAGTATATAGTATATTGTACTTTACATATTTTTATATATATTAAATATCAGTACAATATAGAATATTCATATGAAAAAATCAAATTGTATAATTAGATGTGTGAATAATCCTATTTATATAATAAAAATTATTCTGTATCTCATAAATTATAATTAATTATTTTTTTTTTTTTTTTTTTTTTTTTCCATTGAGTTATTTGCATCGTTTTGATTTATTGAATCGGATTAATCTTTCGCTGCGCTTCGAATCTTCTGCCTTTTAATTAGTCAGTGATAATTTCAGTCGCGATTTCTTGATAATCTCTGCTTAAGTAACATTTTTATTATTTCACGTATCGTTGTAAGTTCGATCTGTAAATGTAATTGTTATCTCTCTTGCGTTTCTGATCTATCATCGAATTGAAAGCTGCACGTGCGGCTTGTCCCACCGCGTGATATATTTCGACTATTCTCTATTCTGATTTTGCTTCAATTCCTTTAATTTGTTCCTTTCATTTCCTGTTTCTTCAATGCAAAAAGGCATTAAGTATCAATTACAATAAATAATTTTTTTCCCACCAATGCAAAAACCAGCAACATTATGTGAACCAGTTAATGAAGATTTTTATCAATATGTTCTGCGCATACAGCCAGGTAGAAATTGCATTCTACCAAGAATATGCAAGAAAAGTCTTGGCTCAAAGTTCAAATTACTAGCCACTATATATGTATAGCAGTAAAACAAATACCTATTCATTATGCAACAGGGACAAGAAGTTTTTTTTACTAGTAAATAATTTATGGGTACGCAGAATAAATAACTATCGTGATATGAACAGTCGATAATTAGTTATATTCACTGATGTTTCATGCATCTAGCGTTGCGTGCTGAAACGTGATTGAGCGGCTAGCATATTTACATTATTTATTTTTAAAATCTGTTCTAAGTAAAGCAATTTAAAAGATTTTAATTTTGTCATGTAAAACGCAATGTTATCTGTTTTTGAACTTTTTCAGCTTGCAGCTTGCTATTGTTCACCAACAATTGCTTGACCAAAATGGCATCTTCTCGCGACTGTAATGCGCTCAAATGCCGTTCTTACAACATCTTCATCTCCTCCTCTTCATCCGTTCCTCTTGCTTTCTCTACTCTTGAATCTCCATATCATCGATGGATTGCTTCCACCCTCCGTTAGCTGCCGTAATCTGACGTTTCGGTAATCAAATTCAGTCAAAGATAACAACGGGATATAAGAATCTTAGAAAGATATTCCATATAAATACGTAGAAAATTCAATTCGATTTCCTTGCGTTCGTTTATCACGATATGAACGCATTTTCTCAACGGATTAAAACGTGTACCTAATTTCTACCGGCTGAGAATAAACGTAATAATTAGCCGTATTGCATAATACTAATATGTTATAAATTACAAATTAGAAATATGCATTTTAAATATCGGCACTGATTTATTTACACAACGTTCTGCGAGTGCTCGCACCTGTTTCGGTTCCCTGACTGAATTTTTGAAACGACACCATTAGCTCAGTACATTTTTTTATTGGCATTACCCATACAGAATCCAACCTTTACAAATACCAACTTGCTGTCAAAGAAATATATATTTCGGCCACTTATAAATTTTTTAAAATATTACATAACTGTTTTCATGCCATTCAGAAGAGTGTTTATACAAAAACAAAATTTTTAAAGAAAAGAAACGAGAGGAATCCGCGAGATTGTCCGATATAAAAACATTTGGTACATGAATAAACAATTCATTGTGCGACATATATTTATTAATATCTCTTTATCTGTCATCGATCTCAGCGTTACGCTAAGAGAGATGTTTTACACGCTGCTGTTAAATAATGAAAGAAAGAAAATATATGTACTTTAATGTAAACTTCCCTGAGTGAATTTGTACTCCAGTAATACGAGGGCGATATCGTCGATACCGCTCATCAAACCGATGATCATAACGCCTTATCGTTAGCGAATATATTTTCTTTATTTTATTGTTTTAATTAATACTATATAGGTACATGTTACTTATATTTCGAAATGGAAAATTGTTTCTGGATTAAGAGATCCACGTTTTGAAAGAGGCGTTTTCTCAACGTCAATGATTAAGAACAAGATTAATATCATTTTGCAATACATAAAATTAATGTATAATAAATTAAATGTATATAATTGACAGAATTTCGACGGAAAATTTTCACCTTTAATGGCTTTTCGAGCATAGAGGGGATGAATTACATCAATTCGTATTAGGGTATGTTAAAATTGTATAGAGTCGATGATTCATTTTTTAAGATGCTGTGTTTGTTCTTCAATATGATTTGTATCATAAGCCGCTTTGAATATATATATAAAAAATTCAACAATAAAGTAAATTTGTTAGCCTACAGTACAGTGTACATTTAAACATCATTCGGTTCTTCTCGTTCGCATACTGTCTTTTATAAATATCGATTACGCTGAGAGTTAGTTCCACCTATATATTAGTTTTAAGAAACTAGTTGCTGATCTACTTTCTTTTTCTAAATCTGACTATAACACAGACAGAGGAGGATGATTTAAGTAATAACATTTAATCGAAGCGTTGATGAAACTAGCCCTAAGTGAAACAAAAATAAATATGACGTATAATTACACCGCTGCTATAACAATCGATTAGTTACAAGCAAAGCAACTCAGACAAAATACGTCCTCGTTAGCATTGATTTCACAATACTTTGCACAAATAATATTATAAGTTTTTTTGTATTTAAAACGTACAGTTTTCTTTGCAGCAACGTACAATATTATATGATCTTATCTATCTGTAATAGATTTTTATGGAAGATAAAATTTTTATGATAAATTTCAATGTAATTATCATAGATTTTTATGAAAACTTTAGATTTAATTAGCATACAAATATTTTGTACCATTCCGCAATTATCACTTTAATTATACAATACTGTAATTGACTAGTCGCCAGTTAACAATGTATTATACTCTTTGGCAATTAAAAATAGAACATTAGAATTTGTCAGTAAAATACACAAGAATAAAGAGATTATGCGTATATAATATTTCTCCTTTTATCAATTGCACCGCTGCTGCAAGAACTGTATACATAACTACAGAAAAGGTCGCGCATTTATATTTCCTTCTTTTTATGTCATGCCAACTACGTATCACGAGGGAAAGCTTAAACGCAAAAATTTATTGAATGTATAAATAAAAGGCATGATAACCGGGCAACACAGAATTTTAGGAATTTGTGCTGTCTAAATGAAAATTATTAATAATAACTATTATTAATAACAATCATCGGCCTTCACAACCTACGTTACATTTTATCAACTACGGCTATCAGTATCACACATAAATTATTATCATTACACGGGATGGCTAACGTTAATCGCGGTCATATCTATGAGCATGCAAAATCTGGAAGTGTGCGAATTTCTAGACTCGCGAAGCGGAAACACCGTGGATGTCATGGTCCATTAAACCCGCACGCGCGTCTACGAGAGAGAAATTAAGGATGATGTGTGCGGAACATTTGGTTTATTCGCTAAACGACTTGATAATCGATGTCAAGCTCTCGTACGTTCCGGTGGCGAAACCCAACACGCCGATTAACACTATCGCCACATCTTTCGAGATCGTGAAGAAACCAAGATTGGTGTTATGCCAGCAGACAATCATCTCGATGATCGGTGGAAACACGAGGGCGAGCGCTGTGCTGCTGACCGCTCCAACCAGAGATATGAAGAGTCCCAATTTTGGTATGGCTTCCGCCAGGATAACTAGAAATAACCACTTTTATAGTAAAATTTCCTCTAGAAATATAAAACATCGATAAATTTATAATTTATAAAATTATAAAACATTGTCAAAATTTATAACTTAAGAAATAAATTTAATAAAAACAATTATATAACAGATGGGGATTATAAATATGTAATATATGTATACATATAAGTAATATAATTTATAATAAATTTCTCCCAATACTTACACGTGATAAGACACATAACGGAACGGAAAATGATCTCTGCGAGTACCGGATACTTGAAGGGGCCGAATCGTTGAACAATGCCAGGCCACATTATTGCAATTGGGACGTAAAACTGCAACGCGTACGTGAGCAATATGCTCAAAGAAATAGCGGTCTTGATGCATTGCGGCAAACTGCGAAAGAATTTGGTTTGTTAGCGAGAGAGAAGAAAGCTGTGCGCGCATCGCTTTAATAATTAATAATCAAGACACATGCACTCAAACGGGCAAAAGCATGCACAAAGCACATTTTCAAAATTGTCAGACATTGTCAAAATCTCGTAGCGTAGAAAATATCACAAAACTATTTTGGTTAGCATTTATCAGACACAGCAAATCTAGAAAACGTTTAGGTAAAGACCTTGAATGATCGTAGATGACTTTCCCGTCCACTCTTGAAATATAAAGAATAAAATACGTTACAAAATGTGTGTTTGTGTGACCGTTCGACAAAAACACACGCTAATATCGTATTTAATAATTCAACGCGCACACTATTTTATTGGCACACGCCTTGATTTGAAGATAATAGTCAAATCGATACAGTGATCTATCGACAAGTTTTGTTACGTATTATATTTACGAGCTGTAAACAAATTATGTAAGTTCTTACATTTCCTTTGGCGCCAAATTGAGCGTGACGGAACCGGCAACCTCGTCACCGTATTTCAGATAAGATAGGAAACCTATTGCAACGAACATAGAGCCGACTATCACCATGCCGACATTGAGAACACCCAGCGGCTTGTTGAAATTATTCGGTTTCCTCATTTCGTTTTTCAGCGGCAGTACCTGCACATCAGCGCCGATGAAACACACAAGTCAAATTATATATGTCGATTTGTTTGATCTAAGTTGAGATCGAAGATAGGGTACTCACTAGAGTAATACCTTCGAAGGAATATATCACAGTGCCGAAGAATAGAGGTAAATTGTTCCAGTCAGCGACGTATCTCCTCTCGCTTATGGACGGTACGTCGTGGCTCATAATGTACATAGTAGCGATGTAACCCGCGATCACCAGGAAATTCGCTATCGAGGATACTGGCACCAGGTACTTGAGGTTCCTGATCCACGTACTAAGAAGTATGGGAACCAATGCCACAGCCATGTGCTGGTGAACGTCCATCACGATCCCGTGCGCGTCCAGCACCTATCATGGAAAATAAAAAAATAATTATCTCTCGCCGTAATTAATATTAATAACATTCTTTTTTGGAAAAATTATCTACAATAAATAAAAATATTTATAATAAATATTGTACATTTTAATTTGATTCTTTTATATTTAATAATAAATAAAAAAGATATTTTTTATTAATTGCTGAATATAAAAAATCAGATTAAAATGTTTTTGACAATATTCGGATTTTGCTATCATTAATAAATTATTAATTGTAAATGATACAGGTATTATTTGAGGGAAAGCAGTTTTCAATGATTTTCATACCGCATGCCTGCGGTAAATAAGGAGAGCGTGCGACGAATGAGCTAAAAGTGCTAAAGCATTGTGATTCGAAATAATAAATTAGAGCTAGAGGAAGATGCCTCTCACCTGTTTCATATTCGTGGAAATGAAAACGAAATACACGCAGCAGAATCCGAGTTGCGTGATACACAAAAACACATTAACCAACTTTCTGCAACAAAACCACGAGACAGCAACATAAATGCGCGGCGTGCTTAATGTGCCAAATTAAATAAAAAATAAGTACAAGACGTATAAGAGGGTAAATTGAAAAATTCGCACGAGCGAGTAAGTGGTTTAAAGAGTGTGTATAAGTGGGAGATTTGAAACAACTGCAACATTTGCGTGAGCTTGTGTTTCTTGTTATTTCGCTTTCTGCTCTTCCATTTGTTACATACCTCATGAAATTCGAGTATTTACGAAGTCCGAGGGGTCCGGTGGCGAAGCACATCTCCACAGTACCGGCGAATCCACTGGTCTCGTTGCTATCACCAACGCGACGTCTCACCTCCTCATTGCACTTGATCTAGAAAAAAATTTATATTAATTACTCTAAGCGTCACTTCACTTAAAATTATATTTTATTAAAATATTACAGTAATTGTTACAAATATATTTCTCTCAAAAGTCACGTTATTTTATTTTGTAGAATTAATTATTTACACATACCAGAATATGCTGAGCGTGTACGCAGATGATGCCGAGAAAGATCGTTAGCGGGGGTGCCAGCAGCAATCCGGCGTTTTTAAAAGCGTCTCCCAACGCAAAGATCCCCGAGCCGACATTACCCTTGAACAGATGCATCATGGTTTCCAGGTACCTGCAGTTGTCCAATCGTTCATTAGTTCAATCTATTTTCGAGTCAACGCGAAATTCCGATTTGTCGGAAAATAGCGAGATGCCTCATGTGTGTGAATTAACACGAATCATCAGGTGTAAACGGAACTCCAGTCACTACAAAATAATAGCTATGAATCAAAATGTGAATATAAACATTTGGCATGCGTTCCAAATATGCAAAGTCAGAGTCATATCAAACATATGTAGTACAGCCTTGGCCAAAATTATTAGGCACCCTCATAATCATTATACTGTACTGAATCTAATACCAAGAAAGACTTCTATTGTTTAAAAGTTGTTTATTAAAGTGTTCATTGTGAAGTTGTTAGAACTAAGAAATGTTTTATTTTTTTCAAAAAATAAATGTTACTTTGAAAAAAGTATTTTAATTTGATGCCTAATAATTTTGGCCAAGTCTGTATATGATTCCAACGGATTGAAAAATGGGGTTTGCTTTCCAACGAGCCGAAATTTTGGAATTCTGCCAGACATCTTTGTTTAATTTCACCTCGAGGTTTATTAAACTCATCTCATGTGTATTGTCCAACTGTGTCAATCAGTTCAGCATGTGGTTACCCTTCGATTTGAAAAATACATCAAGAGAATAATTGCAACTTTTCAAAAATATATATTGCAATTTAATGATAATATAATATTTAAAAAAATATATAAATATTTATACGTCTTTCCATTAATCAAATTGCAGCTGAAATATCAAAATATTAATCGTAAATCACCGGGAGCTTGCGTAACACCAATCACTTTTGCAGATCGGGGTTATATTCCAAGATGCGTCACTTTCATCGTGATTCTCGTAAACTTGTTTCGTAAACTTTGTTCCCGAAATAAATTGTAAATTATTTCAATCTAAATTTAAAACATTATAATCAAATTGGAAGAGAAAACCGCTTTATCGCGCTTATGCAATTTGTAATTCTTCATGCTCGTGAAGCAATAAATAATGAGTTAAATGTGACGGTTATTCGAATCGATGCGTACTTATGCCAAAATATTTATTTCTGGTATCTCTCTCTTTCTGTCTTGCAATATAGCTGAAAGAATTTTCTATTGCGACGCATTTGTGATCATACTTTTGCACGATTGCAATTGTAGGAAAATTGCACATCAAAACGTTACACGTTCCTGCAAAACACGGAAAAAAATAGTTTCTTCCCGGAAAAAAATAGTTAAGCGTTGCATGGAAATATAGTGGTTTGTAGGTATTTTATCGAGAAGTAGCGTAATTGTAGTGATATAACAAAGCACTCGCTTCCGTTATTTGATCATTTACAATCACATACGTTCACGATCGCTTGTCATTCTCGTCACATATCTCTTATCGTATTATCAGATTTATTTGTTGCTCCACAAATGTTTACTTTTGCGCAATATTATTTCCATAGCAACAACACGTGCTAAATGTTCTTCGTCTGACATCTCATACGATCGTTCTCAATATATTGAACGCAGTTTGTCATTGATTGTTCACTGCTGACAAAAAATCCGTTGTTTGATTCAATGCTAATTAAACTTACGAAGTAGGATGGTGCACGGTGATACCATGCTCATTACTCCCGCTCTTATTGGTATCGCCGCCCTTTTCCATCGCCAGAATAGGATCCTTTGATTGAAAAGCTCCGTAGGTGCTGCCATTTCTGCAAACAAAAAAAAAAGAATTAATACCAAAAATAAATTACAAAATTAATTATTAATTATTGTATAAGAATATTATAGTTTTGTAATTTAAAAAAAGTTCAATTTTCTATGTCAAGAAGAAAGTACAGTTATATCCAAGAATAAGGTAACTATCGCACCTAACGATGACCCTGATATCTCACGTGATTTTTCCGTGTAAAACGGAGTTAATTACCGGATATGTACGTGCATGTTGTGATTTTCAACGAGATAATTGAATTTCCACAACTAACGTTAATGACGACGTGCGACTAATGTAAATGAGGGAATCTATCGAGAAGATACTAATGAGTCTGATAAGCATGATCGTGCCAATAGAACAATACGTCAATCTTGGCAACAATTTGATACCTGAAATAGCATGTTCGCAAATTCGAAGCAGAGATTTGTCTCGACATTTATCGATTGTTTCCATATTGTTCTGGCATCTTATTCTGATGTGATATACTATAATACATAGATGTCTAGCACTTGTAACTGGCATATTGTCAATATTTATATTTTATCACTATACAGATAAAAACAAATAAAATAAAATTTTGTGCAATTAAATAAATTAAAACAAAAATCTTATGTAATTAAAAAAGTTGGCAATAATTGGTCTCTTGCACAAATATTATATATTAAAACATTATTAAAATTTATTACATTAAAATCTTATTAAACTCGCTTATCATACAAATTGCAAAATAACAAGTTGCAACATTGTTTGACAATCATCCGTATAATTACTTAATGAGTTATGAAGTTAAACAGCTGCAACAAAGTAATTAAATCATATCTCAGGAAGAACGATCAATCAGTTAGTCAACAGTGTTGCACACTCGTGATTATATCAATCCGCAATTCAATTACTATCAATTACGATCTGTTATGGTAACTCACATTCATTAATTTTAAAATTACACAACAAATAATTCTTCTTGTAAAGCTTATTAAAGTATGAATTATAGAACATTTTCATCGAGGAAAGCTATGATTAGTCAGAAACGACTTATGCAATAAACTATACCTAGCAGATATGTGAAGCTAAACGTTAAGATGTTGTTGATCGTCAAGAACTAATATTAAACATATACTCACCCAAGTGGCTGCTTAAAAGTTGTTTCATCGTGAATGTTCTTCGACGAAATTTCGGAAATCGGACTATTATTGAGTTCCATCTGTAAAATATTAGAAGACGACAATAAAAACTACCACGAATGTGTCGCAATCATCAAATACGTGTATATATAGCTATTCACACATTATTCATTTAATTATATATATATAT